AAAAAGAGTGTGGCAGGTGGGGTGGGGGGAAGAGTCCCCACTGAATAGTTCTCATCTTGTCTAGATGGGTCTGGTGAAAAGAGATGGGGATAAGATTCGTATGATTCAATAGTGAATAATTGTTATCATGACTAATTGCAACTGTCACAATCGTAAAGGTAGAAATTTTTTTTTTAACAAAAAAAGGGGAGTAGTTAATCTTACAGTCCAGAAACGGAGGACCCTAGGACCATCAAGGAAGAAGAGCACAAGCAGAATGCAGGGCCTTATCCAGAGAAGCGGCGACACCAGAGACAGAGGCAGACATGGGGACATGGAGAGAGGGAGGAGCTGAGGACTCACGGGAAGAGAGGAACTAAGAGCCGGTGGCCAGGAGACAGACTTGTAGAATGTGCCCTTTGGTCATGTAAAGTATTATATATGCCTGAGTGTTTTTGTTTTTAAACAAAAAGCTAAAGTAAATATAGAGAAATACTGTTAAGTGATGGTACATGGAGAGAATTATAATTACTGTAATGAAACAATGTGTATGATACGTTGAATGTAAAACTGACGATCTGCCCTGTAAACTTTAACTCAAGCCACAGTAAATACCTTAAACACAAAAAACAAAGGAAATAACGGTAAATATTGTTAACTGATGGTATATAGAGGGAATTGTAATCATTGCAATGGTTTGTTGTATGTAAAACTTATGATCTGCCCTGTAAACCTTTGCTCACTTCATAATAAAAGCTTTAAAAAAAAAAAAAAATTTCCATCACAGATATAGATAGCTTTGTTACTCCGAGGAAGATATTAATATAAGGTGTTATATTGATTTGGTTCCTCAGAAACCCTATACCATTAGTAACATGGTATAGGGTTTCTAAGGAGCAACTGATAGGTTTGAACTGCCACCTTTGCAGTTAGCAGTGCAGTGCTTATCGTACAGTGCCACATCAGGCTTAGTTGAAAAGAATAGGGCTCTCCATTAGTAATGTTGTTTAATCTCCTTGTGGATTTAAGGACTGTAAAGAATAGTCCATATTGGTTTCCTTGCAGCCCAATATTGGTGATGACTTTGTAGCTTTGATTTTAAGAATGTGTAATTTTTTTCCCCAATGCCCCTTTGATTTATAGTATTAACAGATATCTTTGTCTATTTGTGGGAATCCACGAGCTGGTTATGTGTTGGCACTGAACATTTGTTGTCACTGTTGAATTTTAAATGTCATTCATTTGAAATTGAATAATAAATTGAAATTTATTTGATTTTTTTGTTTTTGTGTGCTTTCAGAATGTTTGCTGGTACTTACAGATGAAAGTAATTTCCCCCCAAAAAAGAGCTATATGAATAGAAATACTGTTAACTGATGGTATATGGAGGGAATTATAACTATTGTAATGAAACAAAGTACATGATTTGTTGAATACAAAACTGATGATCTGCCCTGTAAACTTCCACTCAATTCACCACAAAAACTTAAAAAAAAGTAATTTCCCATTCTGTTTTCTACTTTTCAATCAAATGTCCAATTTTATGTTTTAACTCATTTATAAAATGTGAAGATAAAACAAACTTGGCAGTATCTAAGTTCTTGACTCCTGAGTATTGGTTAAATATTTCTTCTGGTCTGCTGATTCTTTTTTTTTTTTAATGTACTTGTTTGAATTGTTATTGGTTGGAAAATAGGAACAGTTCTAAGTAAGCCTTTACCCTTTTCTGTTTGTTTGTTTTTTTTTTAAATCATTTCTGGAACACAGATAAAAGGATATTTGAGATCTTTGTCAAGGTCACTTCAAATATTTTTCTATCCATTTCTAGACATCTGTAGGTACCCACTAGCAAGTAAAGAAGTTGGTAGAGGCCTGAGAGTCCAGGGTCATATGTTCCTAGTAGAATTTGAAATTGTCCTGTAAAACCTGGTCTTGTCTTTTTGGGATCAAGGAAATCTTTTACTAAGGCATGGAGTTTGGCTCACTATTAATTCTCAAGCCTTGGCACACAATAGTTGCTAAATAAATAGCTGCTGAATGAACACACTAAGGAAGGAAAGTTGGATGCCAAGGTTTAGCCAGTTGAAGACCACAGCTGCCCCTCTGTGGCCACACTTGAGAAATGCAACTTACCCAGGCAACACATGGCAAAGAGCTGCTCTTGGACAAGTTGTCCTCTCTCATTCCCTTCCTCAGCTCCTAAAACGTAATGTATGAGTCCATCCTCATCCACCATATCATGTCTCAAGGACCTCCTGATCATTCCAATGCAAAATCTGTTCCTTTCTCTCCAGAGAGGCTTCCTTCCCCAAGAAATGCTGAAGCTCAAGGAATAAGGCCAGTCTTCCCTACCTATGATCATTAACAGGAATTCCTGGCTGAGAGGTTGTGGTCTAGAGATTATGGCAGTGTGGGAACAATGCGTGAGTGGTGCTATACACTACCACAAAAAATAAAAGCTTCAAAATCATGTTTGGCTTCTGGAAGGTTTTTGTCCTCAAGTCTCATCAAAGAGTTCTCCAGTAGTTCAAACGTCTGAGAAGACAGCATGGACAGGCCTATGATCCGAGTTGTCAAGGTCTGATGTCTATCAATGTCCCTTCTCTTGAACATCTTTGGAAACTTTCCAGTTTATTTCAGCTATGCTGAAGGATGATAGATAAGTGAAGGGGTTTTGTCTTTTTTTGAATTACAAGGATAAAGCAGTTTACTGGGTTCAAGGTCTTATACATGACCCTTGAGAAAAGGGCGAGAAGATGGTGAGATTCTGGGGAACAGGGTCAAGACAGTCCAATGAGCCCTTTTCCCAAGTGGCTGAGCTGAGACTCAGCAGTTCTTCCAACAGTGTTGCAGTGTGGGAGTCTTTGAGGGGACATATTTTGCTCACTGTGTGTGTTCCATGACTGGGACTGACAGTGGCATTGACACCTGGGCCCCACCCTCTTCATGTCCCAGGGAAGAAAAGCAGCTGGGAGAAGCCCTCTTTTGGAGAAATTTCCTTACCTCCCTTTTGAGTGGGGCCACGTAGGCCCAGGAGTTGGTGGCAGGATCGTAGCGCTCCACAGCACTTAGGTCATTGTGGTAGTCGCGGCCTGCTACAGCGTAGATGTACCTCCCCACGACACACACACACAGGTCGGCATGCTCCTGCTGCAGGGACTGGATCTGAAACCACCGACTGTGCCTCGGGTCATACCTTTTGCAGGGACATAAGAACAGCACATCACTGACCAGGTAAGGGAGTCTTCCATAGGCCCTGAGGGGCCCTACCCGCACCCCCCAGCCCCTTGATCTCATAGAAACCACCCTGGCCACCCTACCGGCCAGTTCATACATAGAATGTGGCCAAGCCACAGGTCTCCTAATATGCCTGAATACAGGTGTGGCTCCCACACACAGTCCTGCAAGGTGCGGATAAGGAGTCAGGCGTGATTTCTAGTTCACCTACCTGCCAACCCGGGTTGTCCTATGGCTGCTCCTGTAGGTACTTCAGCCTCACCTGTTTCAATTCACGTTACCCAGGGCATTGCCTTCTTTTAGGAAGGCCCTCAATTGAGGTCTATACTGGACCAGCGCAAAGGTCTCCTTTCTCAATGGCCTCCTGCTACCCCCAATATTCCATCGCATGCCCGGGAGGTTGTCTGATCAGGACACGCACTTTACAGAGTACCACTAGAAGTCTCAATGGAATATCTGCACAAGCAGTCAGCTGCCACATTCACGTACTGCCCCATGTCCCCTCAATCTATCTGTCTTCTGTGAGGCAATACTTAAATGTGGTCCATGCTCCAGGTGTTCCCAACCTCTCCACTTGGATCCTTCATTCATTTCCCAGGCCCCTCTCTTTTGGGTGCACTATTTGAGCTGAACTGTGGGAGTCTTAAGGCCAGGGGCCTGTCAGGTTTCAGGAGATCCTGGGTGGGAATGCAGTGGGCTAACTGTGAGGACCCACAAGGCTGGAGAAATGTGGCCTGGGCCAGAGGAGTGCTTGGAGTTCTCTTGAAGCTGGCCTGCATTCCTGAAAAACTGGACCTCCTAAATCTTAGCACCACATCAGAGCTGCTTCCAAGGCCCACGATGCTGACATCTGTCAGCCTCCTATGGTGACGAAACTCTCTCAGTCACAGTCCTGGCTTCTCCTCTTTACCATCAGCCTCCAAATCAGACCAAGTCCCTGCCTGGGCTTCCTTACCCTGACTCCCATTCACTGCAGAGTCCAATGAGTAGAGCCAGAGACAGCATGCCTGCTCTGCCCTTTCTGATACCCCCCTCAGGCTGCTCCATCTGGCTTCCCAGCAGCCTCCTATTCTGACTTCAGAGGATTATGGATCCCTCAACACTGTCTCACCCACCCAAGGGATACCCATCATCACCCAGTACTTTCCCAAGGACTTCTACTTTACCAATTCCTGCCAGAGTATTTCCACCTGCTGCTTACCTCCTCCTATGAATGATGCCTTCTGTATCTCCTCACAACCAGCAGAGGCAGACCTGTAGATGCACCCCAGGAGTCCTCAGTTCTCATGCTGTGGCCTCAGTTCCATTGTCCCAGATGTCACTCAGGCAGCTCACAGTCAGAGCTTCTTTACCTGACCCCCTGCCTCCCATAGTCTTCTTTCTCTAGTCCATCCTATCACAACTCAGTGGTAAAATTCATCTGCAATGCCCCGCTCACATATCCCATCCATACACCCTAGCCTGGACCTGAGGTCCTTTGTAGTCAAATCCACTTCTGTTGCTCCAGCACCACCCCACAGCCCTGGTTGGCCTGAACACCTCTGCAGTTCCTTAAGCTTATCACTCCACATCCCTCTATCTCTCAAGTTCAACACAATGGGCATGTAAGCAGGAAAGCTGCCTGGAAAAGTACGGTGACACAGCTATGAGAACTCTGGGCTTTCCCCTGGGAAGCACCCAGGTACCAGTGCCTGGTGAGCTCCAGCCTCTGGAAACTCCTTGCTCAACAGCTCATGGAGAGAACCATAAAACCACTGCTGTCGGGTCAATTCCAACTCAGAGCGACTGTACAGAACTGTCCCATAGGGTTTTCAAGGCAGCAATCCACAGAAGCAGAAACTTCTACTTTCTCCTAAGGAGTGGCTGGTAAGTTTGAACCACCAATTCAGTTAGTAACTATGTTCTTTAAGCACTACCCCACCAGGTTCCTCCTAATGTACACACCCACCGCAGTCTGGTTGATACTGACTCATAGTGACCCTATAGGGCAGAGTAGAACTGACACACAGAGTTTCCAAGGCTGTAAATCTTTGAGTTAGATAACTGAAAAGGAAGAACAAGCTCAGTATTTCTGAAGCTGAAGGAACTGAAGTAAAAATTCAAGCCGACTTGTTATATTGACAGATTCCATTGGCAAATATTGAATGATGCAGAAAGCATCAATAGAAGACGTAAGGAATACACAAAGTCACTCTACCAAAAAAAACGGTTGGTATTTAACCATTTCAAGAGATAGCAAATGTACTGAAGGAAGAAGTCCAAGGTGCACTGAAGGCATTGGCAAAGAACAAGGCTCCAGGAACTGATAAAATGCAAACTGAAATCTTTCAACAAACTAATGTAGCACTGGAGTTACTCACTCATCTATGCCAAGAAATTCGGAAAACAGTTACGTGGATAATTGATTGGAAGAGATTCATATTTGTGCCCATTCTAAAGAGAAATGACTCAACTGAATGCAGAAATCACTGAACAGTATCATTAATATTACACACAAGTACAATTTTGCTAAAGATAATTGAAAGACGACTGCAATAGTATATTGAGGGAGATGAGAGGGCGGCGTTTCCTGGACCAGGCAGCTCAGGTAGGGCTCCGGGGAAAAGCGGCAGAATTGCACATAGAAAACCTCTGTCTAGCAGACAGACAGCCTTTGAACAAACGTAAGATCCTATATTTCAACATTCTGAACTTGTTTTTTTAAAAGATCAAATTGCTGAGGAATTACAGGCATTTTAAGCTTTTGCCTGCCTGCACGCAGTTCCCGCTTCCACGCCCACGCCGGAGAGTGCCTCTGCCCCCTGCAGACCTTGGAATGCAGGGCTAGAGCAACCCCACTTAGAAGGCTACATTTCCAGAGAAAAGGAAGCATAAACTAACAAACCCGAACAAATAGAGAGGGATATCGATGCGGATATCAGGAAATTCGGGGTACCCATGGTACAGAGAGACTGAGAGAGGCATTTTTTACATCATCAGATATGAACAATTTCTCCCTACAACAACTAACCCCAGCCCTCTAATGCCCCGGCCTGGACCAGCCCTCTGCCAAGCCGCCGAGGCTCAGGAACACCCAAGGCACAGGCCCGCCCACTGAGGCCAAGGCCCTCCCAAGGCCCAGACACTCCCACTGAGGCCAAGGCCTGCCCTGAGGCCCAACCCACCCACAGACGGGTCACAAAGGCCCAGGTCCAACCAAGGTCAAAATCACCTACCCGCGAACGCCGCATAGCCAGGTCAGAGTCCCAGGGCCCCTGAGGCCCAATCTACGGCATAGCCGGGTCGCCAAGGACCAGTGCCCCTGAGACCCAACCCGCCCTCAGCCCGGTCCCAGAGGCACAGGCCCCCCGAGGCCCAATCCACCCAACCCGCCCGCTGAGGCCCAAGCCACCCGATGCCCAGCTGCTGATACCCAGGCCCCCTGAGGCCCAAACCGCCCGCCCGAGGCCCAAAACAACTGCCCGAGGCCCAACCCTCCTGCAGCCCGGTCGCTGACGCACAGGCCCCCAGAGGCCCAAACCGCCTGCCCTAGGCTCAACCCACCAGCCCGAGACTCAAACAACCCGCCGCCGAGGCCCAGGCCCAACTGGGGCCAAAAAAAGTTACTCTCAGTTAAGCAATAAGGAGAGTGAAAAGGGAAGACCACATCCTGATCACACCTTCCTGGAGGTAATCAGAAAACATAAAAAATTACCAAAACACATACTTAATTAATTA